CAATTATCTGTCTCTATCTCTCAATCTGCTATCCAATTCCGATTAATTGTCTCGCTTTATCTGGCGCGCTTACATGCAGGAATAGAGGGCGTCTAGAAAATACTGGATTATTCGTGATGTTCCCTGATCCTTCTAGAAACTCATCACGTGTCTTCCGCTGTCGTAACATCGTTTTTGCCAATAGTATAACCTATATGTTATTTTTTTTTCCTGCATTTAAATATTGGTATGTATCTGATCGTTTGTTAGTTTCCGGTACAAATTATTCTTGAGGAACTTCAGCGATACAAGTCCTTTCTTAAATAAAACTAGTTTATTCTTTCTCAATACAACTTTGCAATACACTTAACTGCTACAGTCACTTTAACTTAAACACACGCTATAATTCACAACGACCCACACACTTTACTTACGACTTGACTCGATTATCTGTCTCTATATCTCCCTATCTGCGAATTATATCTCCGCTTTATTTGCTGGGCTTATATACTAAAATAGAGGGCGCCTGCAAAAGACTAGAGTTGCCAGGAAAAGTGATGATCCTTCTAGAAACTCATGAGGTGTTACCAGCGTCACGTGACTACCGCTGTTGTAACAATATGATATTATGATATTATTTTTAGTGCCCTCCCACTACAAAAATTACTCCTACGGCCTTGATGCTGTATTATAAAACAAAGAGTCTGCAATACTTCCAACTACTTCTTCATTGCCTTATTGGAGGTGTCGGAACCGGAGGCGCTGTAACACCCCCACTTTTACATATTTGATTTATGTAGCAACTGTAAATTATATTTATATATATATTAATTTTCTGGAGCAATGCCACCACACCCCTTAGATTGAGCTGTCTTTTACAGCACAGGATCTGCTTTAACAGCTCTTTATACTTTGAATCTCTCATTGTAAAATTTGCTTGTCTAGCCAAGCACCCCCACTGTGCAGCTTTTCCTACACCACTGCTTTTATATTAAAAATAATTATAGTTTATTCTTAACTGCATGTTTACTTTGGTTTATTTGTTATTTAGCACAAAGTTACACAATGAGTTATCCATGCTATGCCCACCACAGGTATCGAGACCTGGTGTTTAGCATAAAAAAGCCTCCAAACTTACTGCTAAGCCATTTGGGAGGTTTACTTTTAAAATAAGTCCTTGAAACGTCGCCATTTCGTTTGTCATAAAACAGAATAGGTGTTCTGTGTTTCCAATTTATTACTGGCTAATATTTCATTCCCACAAATCATTTCGCGTGGATTTCGTGACGTTTTTTTGCGTGTATTGCTATCGGTTGTTTTCAAATGTTATTTAATTTTTAAGATGTGTTATGTGAGAATTGTGTTGTATATACTATCTATAATATTAAATCTCGTGGATTAACTTTAAGTGTTTAAGACCTCTTGTTTTGTCGCGTAAACGTAGTCAACTCAGGTGTGTAAGTTTACATTTGTGTTAGTGATGTGTTTTGTTTAATTTATACTTATTACTGTAGTATTTTTTGAAATATTGAAGGAAATGTCTTTGCATTGCAATGAATTGAATGAGCCTTCGCATGAATCTGAATACAGCTGACACCGATAGTGATAATGTAAACAAACTACTAATACTATCCAGCTATTTCTGTCACATAAGCATTTTTGGATAGTTGGATTTCGTAATTTTTAAACAAATTCTTGAGGTTTCCAACAGTTATTCAAATGTGCCAAAGAAATGTTTAAGCTTATCCTAGCATTCATACCTGAATTTGTTATGTCTGTAGTAAGCCAATAAAGTTTGAAAACTTTATCTTCCTATGTTGAGTATCACTAGTATCACTATCAAAAAACCATCCTAGATCACTTTCAGTTAAGAAATCTCTCTCCTTCGCTATTTGACTTCTTATAATCTTCATCAATGTGTTTAAAATTAAAGTTTCCCATAATTATCATATTAGTATCCTTATTGCAAACAACCCTGATCACATTGTACAATCTTTCAGTGACTTTATCTGTATGATCAGGTGACCAGTAACAATTGCCAGTTTAAAAAATATACTGTTGAAACCCCTTATTGTAACTCATGTAGATTCAGCCTTTTGATTACATTTATATTTTCAACTCTAACAGTTCATTCCTTATTTAAAGGGCCAACCCATTCTTTAAGAAGTTTGTCACTTAAATATCTGAACCTGGAATTTTAAAATAATTCTTATTATCAGTATTCTACAAATCTAACCAAGTTCCAGTAATTCCCATTATTTCAGTTTTAACTAGAGCACGGAATTCATCTGTTTTGTTCCTAATTCTTCTAACATTAGAATAACAACTAAGCTTATTCTTATATTTACTTTTCTATTTAAGTTGACAACATTAGAATAACAACTAAGCTTATTCTTATATTTACTTTTCTATTTAAGTTGACAGATTTATCTGTAAAAATTATTATTCAACTTGTGTTCTAAATTTCCTTGTTGCTTTACTTCCTGTCTTGTCAGTTTCTTAATTTGCTATTTCCCAGCTCTCAACACTTAGCAACTTCCCAGTCATCCTACTGTGTTATCTGCTTCAGTGGAGTTAATATCTAGCATGATATAATCTTCCCTTGAACATTCTTACAGATCCAACCACCATACTTATTGCTCTAAGCATATTCCTGATACTCTTTAATTTTAGCCTTGGATCCTGCTAAGGAATTTCCACATTTGCTAATTATTTATCCAACTTACTAATTGATCTAACTCATTTGGTATTATCTCAACATCTTTTATTCAATTAGAAATACTTAATTATCTGTGTGATAATAACTTATCAAAAGTCTTTTGAAAATCTGGTACAACAAATTCCACAACATTTCCATCGCCAAGCTAAGAAGCAACATTATAAAAAATTAAAAACAGTTAATAAATTAGTAAGGCAAGATTAACCATGAGTGAATCCACATTGACTTTCATGTATGATGCCATATTTCAATGAATGCTTTTGCAGAAATGAGACTAGCTGGCCTATATTTCCTAAGGCATCTATTTATCACCTTTTTTTAACATGGGACTTATTAACAGTAATGCTAGCAACTGTTCAGCTTTTAGGGACCTGCATACTGTTTAAATATTCAAAGCAAAAGGTTTGGATAATAATACTGTGGCAGAAAAAAATTTGCTATAATTTTTTATCTGAACACAATTTATGGAATGCTTTTCCTGTGAACCAAGGTATCACAATATTAAATTATCTGGCAGTAATAATTGATTCATATATTTTAAGTCACGTGAGTTGTTTTAACTCTTTCTTTAGCTGAATGAAATTTTATTTTGAAGTAAAATTATATGTGATAAAAACTTTAAATATATATATTTGTTAGTGCCAGACAAAATGTCAATTTTTAAGAAAAATATCAAACTTCTTATTAAACTGTTATCACAAGTGAAGCTTATGTATAAGAACAGTTCTGAATTTTGTGTGACTTGTATTTGGACAGAGTATTGAGGTATGAAAATGACGGGTGAAATGGATTCTTCAACATTAGTCGTTCGGCATCTTCCCTCGGAACTGTCAATAAAAGAAAAGGAAGAAATGCTTAAATATTTTGGTGCTAGCCATGTGAGGGTTATGTCAGAAACAGGAAGGATGGTAAGTTTCACCTCGTATTCTATTAACAAAGAATTACTGTAGACATTGTAGTTGAATGTTACTTGTTCCTAGAGCTGGGCAGTTAGTGGTATTTGCTAATTTATCAATCAGTGGGCTCATTATATTCAGTTAATCGATTGGTAAACCACATCCCCTACAACCTGCACAAACAAAAGAAAAAAATGGGATATGTACTGTGATCTTAACTTTTTGAACAACAACCGTATTTTTTGGTATACAAGACGCACTTTTTACCCCAAAATTTAATGTCAAAATCTGCTTGTGTTCTATACACCGAAGGTATGAATAATATATATATATGTATATATACGATATACACAAGCCATGTGTAAATATATTTAAATAGGCAT